TTGGCGTCGAGGATGTCCATAGGGCGCACTAGGGTCGAGCTGCCAACGACGATCTCCTGGCGGGGGAGGGCGTCCTCGCGCAGCGAGCGGTACACCGCGCCGCTGGCCTTGGGGTCGGTGAGCCACGCCTTGAAGTCGCTGAGAGACTCCCTGATGGCGCGCCGGTGGGCTCTCTGCTCGATGCGCCCTGCGAGACCCTGGAAGGCCTCCAGCACGCGGGCCGTGCAGCCACCGACGTTCAGCAAGAGACCGATCCACTCGCCAAACTTGGGCTCGTCGGCCCTGAGCAAACTGGCTACACCTTCGGGTAGGTCGCTCGTAAGATGCTGGCAGGCACGATGTAACTGGACCAGCTGCTTCACTCCGTTGTCACGACCGAGATGACGTACAGTCTGAAGTAATATGGATGAGACTCTCTTCCACCAAGCTGTCACTTGATCCCTGAGTGGGACCTCGCGCTGCCGACCACTGTGGCTGACGGGCTCGATCACGAAACTGCAGCCCGCAGCCCTGCGCGTGCCGACAACGGCGGACAACTGATGGTGCGAGAGAATGGCCTGCTCGAGAGTGGAAACCCACTGGCCGTACCACAAGCTCGCAAACTCCCTGTGCTGAGAGTTGAGGCAAAACACTACGGAGGAGGAGGGGGGGGGGGTGAGGGTCCCACGGGGACGTGCCCTTGTTTAGCTCTCGGCACCGTGCCCAAACCTCAGCTGGGATGTGAAACGATGGCTCAACCTTTGACGTAGGGACTTCCTTAAAGGGGGGGGGGGGGGTAAAACTGAGGCGCAACCTTTGGCTGGGGGGGGTGGGCCCTGAAAGACACTATTACTGCAAGCTGGCTCAGACGTGTCGCGAGAGGTGACGATGCTGATGGCCGACGGCTCGCTTTTGTTCTGGACCTGACTGAACGCGTTTTCAGAAGCCCACGGGTCCTCCTCATCAGGCCATTGGTCGGCCTCGGGAGGCTCGTCACAGAAATCAACAGAAACTGACATGGATTGGCTGCCGGATTGATCTTGGGAGCTCGTCTGGCCCCCGACATGATCTCCGAACAGCACCTGAATCTTTTCACATCGGGCGGCTCGGGCAAGCTCCGCTTTGGCTTGCTTGTCACGCTTGGCAGTAGACGATTTGGAACCAAGAGAGGGCAGCGTGCACGGGCGAGCAACCTGGGGCAGACGGCTGGCGCAGACGAGCCTGCGCGTCAAGAGCTGGTGCCCTTGGCTGCGGAAAGTCATGGAGAGGCCGATGTGCGGCCGCCATGGGATGTCCAGCCGTGGCTGGAGAGAAATGATGTACGGGATGGCGGCCTCGCTGACGATTGCATAGTCCAGCATGCTCCCCTGCTTGCTGGCGTCGCAGGTGTAGGAGACCCCCTCAGGGATGATGATGTGGCCGAACACCCGGTCCAGGAAACCAGACGCGATGACGGCGGGCGGCTCAACATTCCAGTCGCCCAGGCAAATCCACGGCAGCCGAAGGCTGCTGAGCAAGGCGCCAAGACGATAGAATCGGGCCAAATTGCGGCCTGTCAGGCCGACGCCTGTGAAGCCGTAGCAGATGCACAAGATGAACGAGAAACCGTTGCAGTGGATAACGGTAGCTACGAACCCGTCGAGCGCCGAGAACCCAGGAGCCCGCAGGGCCGTAGTGGATCTGGCCTCGTGTAGCGTTTCCACATGAAGGTGCCCCTTTGAGAGAAGCCACTCTCCACCTTCGTTGGCTTTGTCAATAGTACTAAGAGATTGATGGCGTCCGCTGGGTCGAGCCGCGTTCGCCAGGAGACGAAGACCAGCACCACGGGCACGAGCATCCCACTTGCGCAGCTGTGACTCAGGAATATGAGTCTCTGCAACCCCTATGTACTCGTGCGTGGCAGTGATGGAATCTAAGAAAGACCATGCTGAGTCGCCCATGGTCGTGACGTTGCTGAAGAAAATACGACTGACAGCTGGGGTAACCTCGGCCGTCGACAAAACTGGCGCCTGGGGCTGCGGGGTCGATGCCGCTGCCACAGGGGGGCTGCTGGCAGCCCCAGGCGCAACCCGTCATGCCTTGGCCTTGGGTTTGGCGGCACCGCCCTTGGCTCCGCCCTTGGCCCCGCTGCCTGCTGCATGCTGCCCGTCCGCCGCCGCCGCAGCCGCTGCTGGCCGTGCGGGCACATCGAGTGGAGCGTGCGGGACGATCAGGCGTGAACCAGATCGGAGGTAGCGGCTTCTCGCGCCGTGGGGGGGCCCATGTGCTGTCGAGTGCTCCTGCTGCGCTGCTCTGGTGCTTGGTCCCCTCGTGCACCTGCTGTGCGACTGCATCGCGTACGCCGGTGTCCTGGCTGAGCGCGTGGTGTCTGCGGTGGTCGGTGGCGCTGTGATCGGCCTGAGGCAATTCCGGGGACGCGAGTTCCTCGCGCGCGCGGATGTTCCCACTGCCAAGCAGCAGCGCATGAGTTAGCGAGAGAGGACGGGAGTAAGTTCAGCCCACTACGCCACAAGGCGTGCTCCCTCCAAGAAAATCTGGAGGAACGTTAGAAATCGAAACCTCCGCGGACCCTCCACAGCCCAGTGAAAAACATCGTTTTAGAAGAATGGCTACGGCCAGACATGAGACCCTCCGTCGGCCAACACACACACACACACACGCACCCCAACCCCAGGACGCATAAGAACATCCAACAAACACGAAGAACATCAGGGCACCCTCCCCGAACCGACCTCGACCTTGTACCTCGGTCCGACCCCATGTCGGGATCGTCTGTGCGTGCACCGTATGTTCCGCAGGAGAATCGGAGAGCTGTAGCGCATACCATCGGATGGACAAGCAAGCGAAGCAGCCGTAGATTTAGGTCGGGCACGTCCCCCTACAGGCGGAGTTTGGACGACAAATCAAACACAATCCAAACATAATCAAACATACGCCAAAACAAAATACTAACATTTCATCCCCAAACTATTTCTGACTATTTTTCGATATTCCTCCTGTAGAAAGGCAGGCCCGACTTAACCGCAGATTTAGGTCGGGCCTGTCCCCCTACAGGGGGATTGTGGACGAAAATTTAAATAGTCAAACAATACCCTAGAATATTGGAAAATTGTTAAAACAAATCGTCCCCAGACTATTTTTGACTATTTTTAAATATTCTTCCTGTAGAGGGACAGGCCCGACTTAGAGTCAGTCGCGGGAGGCGCAGGGTGGCACTCTGAAGGCTCCAAGCTGAGAGTGCACGACGGATGCGATGGGCGGGGTGCCAATCGTCCTGCACCGATGCAAGTGTGGGAGCGCTTCAGCCTGACGACGCGCGGCGCTGAGGCGAGAGACGCATGCTCTCAGACCCATGCGACCGCCGTGCGTGTGGCTGCTGGTCGCTAAAAGTTCCAGGATCGGAGGTGGTGAGGACGTCTCGCCCATCGAACCACCCCGCTTGCCCTGCCACCAGTGCGAGGAGGGAGACGCAGGCGGCGGGGATAGACGGAGGCGAATGCGGAGGAGACAGGGGACGAGGAGGAGGGAGCGGAGGACGAGGCGGACGCTGCGGGCCTGCACCGGGAGTTCGCGGAATGCAACAGCGGAGGACGCGCAGGAGACGCAAAACGAGGGCGCCGCCGCCGCCGCTTCGTCCGCCGGCCAACTCCTCTCTCGCCCGCTCCCTGGGATTCAATGGCAACACATGCGAGGCATCTGTACCCAGGAGGGCACTGTTCGCCTGCAGCAAAACACTGAATCGGAAGAGTCTTGGTCGCCAGTGCTCTGCATCGAGCGTGTTTTCCCCCGATATGGAATATGGATCTGTGTGCCGCCACGCCGCTGCCCTCCCCAACCGGCCCTCGCTCCCCTTTGGCGCGCACGCGCGTGCCCTGTGCAGCTCCACGGCCCTCCCCACGCACCCGACGCCCTGGTCTGCTCCATACAGTCGGGCTGCTGAAAGAAGGAACGCTAAATAAGGAACGAAGCCCCTTCTTGGCCCTGTAGGCGCCTCCGTGCCCCAGGAGGGCAAGAGGAGCAGCACTGGAGGAACCTATAAGAACATCGAGCCCCTTCCGAGCCCAGACTGTTCCATGTTTAAGCGTCTTGACTGTACGGGGCCCCCCGAACCCTGGACCACTTTACATGGACCTGCTTTTCGCCCCGGACTGCTTTGTCCGCCCCCGTCGCTGTACGGTGCCCCCAGAAGTCCCGACCCTTTCCCCTGGCCCAGCGTTTCTTCTCAGAAACCGAATCAACGAACAAATCCACACCGTTTTGTTTTTTTCCACACTGCGAGCATGTCTCGACTCTTTCCTTCTCCTCCTCCTCCTCCCTTTCTCCGCCAAGCCGAAGGAGGAAGGCGGCACGCACTCAGCATGGGGGAAAAAACGGGTCCTGAGGGAAGCGGGACCTGGGCCCAGGGCCTTCCCCCAGGACAACTTGGGCGACGATCAAAAACGGCGATCTTGCGCGAGATGACGCAGCGATTTTGCGCGGCGGCTTACGCGGGCCACTGGCGCGGAACGCTACATCGGAGACGAGGGCGCTCACGCGCGACCTTACCCAGGCAACTTTCGCCCCAATGTCGGCGCAGACGACCCCGCTCTTTTGCGTCGCTCGACTTGCTCACCCGGAGCCGCTCTCTGACAGGCCCAGAACCCGCGCCGGGCCCCGAGAGCTCGAAGACGGCAACCAAAAGCCTCCCGACCCGCTTCCCTCAGGACCCCGACCGAGGAGGAGGAGGAGGAGGAGGAGAAGGAGGAGGAGGAGGAGAAGGAGGAGGAGGACGACGAGGAGCGGGCGGCTGGGACGTGGCCCCTCGTCAGAATTCAGGAGGAGGAGGGGGAGGGGGACGAGGAGGAGGAGGAGGAGGCGGAGGAGGAGGAGCAGGACGAGCAGGAGGAGCAGGAGGAGCAGGAGGAGGAGGAGGACGACGAGGAGGAGGTGGCGATGTACCGACACCGCTCTGCGCTCCCCTTGGCGAACGCACGACGGCGGGCTGTGCCCCCGACCGGCCCGCGGGCGCGCGTGGCGGCGGCCTCCAGCAGGGCGGCGCCGGCCACGGAGGCCGGGCGCGCCTGCTTCGCGCCTGCGCGGGGGGGGGGGGGGGAGCCTCCGCCTCGCACCGCTCTTGGGCAGCCTCGAGCGTAGCCCGACCCCTGCTCTGGCTGGGGTGTTGATCGAGGGGTGGGCGACTGGGCCTCCGAATGAGCTTGCCCTCCCCCTCCCCCTCCTCCTCCTGCTCCTGCTCCCCTCCTCCTCCCCTCCTCCTCCTCCTCCTCCTCCTCCTCCTCCTCCTCCCCCTCCTCCTCCTTCTCCTCCTCCTTCTCCTCCTCCTTCTCCTCCTCCTCCACCCGTTCCGACAGCACGTGCTTAACCCCCCAGCGGATCCAGGGAGGGGGGGCGATTATTGTCCCATCCAGAGTAGCCCTCCCCCTAAGGTTGACAAGCCCACAATCGACGGCGAGCGAGGGGGGGGGGGGAACGCGAGAAGGAGAAGGCCTGCCCAGAAGGCGACGGGCCTTCTCAGGAGCCCCCGCGCCTTCCAAAAAGGTTGCTTGTTTCTCTGCCTTCGGGGAAGGCTTACTACACCAGAGAAAAACCCCAATCAGTGGATGGTTCTCGCTGAGGAGATGGACCAGGAACCCGAGAGCCTGGGAACCCGCACCGAAATCGGCCCAGAACCAACAACCGGGAACCCGGGAACCCGGAACCGGGAACCCGGGAACCCAGCCTGCCACCAACATCGGCGGGAAACTTTCGCCGAATCTTTCAACTTCCGCGAGGACCCCTTCAGTGCAAGCACTGATTGGGGAAGAACGCTTCTCAGAAGGCCTGGCGACTTCTGAGTTTTCACAGGATGCAGTCCGGCTGGTTCCCTCCGTAGCACGCCGCTCCGCTGTGCTCTAGCCCCCGGGCGCAGGAAGTCGGGGACAGCGGGTCGCTTAGCAACGCTCCAGGGAACGAAGCTCCATCAGGATCCAGGGCGGCAAAAACACACACAGACACAATGAATCGTCGATCCCCCAGAAATTTATCCCAGTGCGACCCTACCTAGGAGTTGCAGCCCCTAGGAAAGCAGGATTAGTAGTAACAGTCAAGCTAAGCTAACACTAAGCTAAAGCTAAGCTGAAGCTAAGCTAAAGCTAAGCTAAAGCTAAGCTAACAATAAGCTGAAGCTAAGCTAAAGCTAAGCTAAAGCTAAACTAAGGCTAAGCTATCACTAAGCTAACACTAAGCTAAAGCTAAGCTGAAGCTAAGCTAAAGCTAAGCTAAAGCTCAGCTAACAATAAGCTGAAGCTAAGCTAAAGCTAAGCTAAAGCTAAGCTAAAGCTAATCTAAAGCTAAGCTAAAGCTAAGCTAAAGCTAAGCTAAAGCTAAAGCTAAAGCTAAGCTAAAGCTAAAGCTAAGGCTAAAGCTCCCAGGGGACTGGGGGAACCGCGGGGCGTGTAGCACTGCCCGGCCCCTTTAAGCTAGAGAGGAAGAACCCTTCTAGGCAGAGCCTAGGTAGGGAAATATGGGAAATCATGGGAACGCACCAGGGAACGAAGCTCCATCAGGATCCAGGGGGCAAAAACACACACAGACACAATGAATCGTCGATCCCCCAGAAAAATATGGGAAATCATGGGAAATCATGGGAAAAATATGGGAAATCATGGGACAAATATGGGAAATCATGGGAAATATGGGAAATCATGGGAAGTGGGAAGGCCCTCTGAAGAAAAAGGGCGCCCTCCTTCGCACTTCCCCCTCAGGGGGGCTCGCCGCCGACCGGCGCCAGCCTCGAGCGAACCCCTACCCTTTCAGGTTGTGGATGCCACGACAGTGGGCACCCTAAGAGTCCTACAGTCCGAGCACAGTCACAAGAACGTGAATCAAGAACGCGAGCCCCTCCGCCGAGGGTCACGGGACCCCTGGGGAAGCCAAAACGAAGGGAGATCCCACGGTGGGAGGACGAAAAGCGAAGAACGTAAGGGTATCTCCCCGAAGTCGAAGAGGATCTTAATCCTCGCGCTGGCTGTATCGCACCGGAGAAAACCCAATCGGTGGATGAGTTGACCATTAGTCATATGGATCTTGAAATCGACTGTGAGATCCATAATGAGATCGACAGTGGAATCGATAGAGGGCGAGTGTAAGGTCGATCGTGAGACCGAGAGTGAAATCGGTTCAATGAGATCGATAGGGAGATCGATCGCGAGATCGCTCGTGCGATCTCTAGTGAGATCGCTTGCGAGATCGATTGTGAGATCGATTGTGAGATCGATGGTGAGATCGATATAGAGAGGTGGGAAATGGGATCGATGCTGAGACCGATCGATGAAGAAGATCGGCCAGGAACCCTGGAACCTAGGAACCTCGCCGCCCACCGAGATCGGCCCGAGAATCGGGAACCCCGAACTCCGGAACCAGGAACCCAGCGTGCGACCAAAATCGGCGGGAAACTTTCGCCAAATCCTTCAACCTGCGCTAGGACCTCTTCAGTGCAAGCACTGATCGGGGAGAATGAGATCGATAGTGGAATCGATAGAAGACGATTGTAAGGTCGATCGTGAGACCGAGTGGCATCGATTCAATGAGATCGATAGGGAGATCGATCGCGAGATCGCTCGTGCGATCTCTAGTAAGATCGCTTGCGAGATCGATCGATTGTGAGATCGATGGTGAGATCAATATGGAGAGGTGGGTAATGAGATCGATGCTGAGACCGATCGATAAGAAGATCGACCAAGAACCAGGGAACCTGGGAACCTCGCCGCCCACCGAAATCGGCATGGAAACTGGGAACCCGGGAACCCGGCACCGGGAACCCGGGAACCCAGCGTGCGACCAAAATCGGCGGGGCACTTTCGCCAAATCTTTCCGCATCCGCGAGCACCCCTTCAGTGCAAGCACTGATTGGGGAACATCCGCGAGGACCCCTTCAATGCAAGCAATGATTGGGGAATAAAATCCGTAAGGAACTCGACAGTGAGATCGGTAGTGCGATAGATAGTTAACCATCGGCCCAGAACCAATGATCAAGAACCCGGGAACCCGGAACCGGGAACCCGAGACCGAATGAGATCCGTAATGAACTCGACAGTGAGATCGGTAGCGAACCATCGTCCCGGAACCAATCACCAGGAATCCGGGAACCCGGGAACCTAGAACCGGGAACCCGGGAATCCAGCGTGCCACCAACATCGGCGAGGTACTTTCGCCAACTCTTTCAACATCCGCGAGGACCCCTTCAGAGCAAGCACTGATCGGGGAATCGTCGAATTAGAACTATGTTTTAACACATGCTCCAGACATCTGGAAATCACTTGGCAGCATGCTTCCTCTCCATTGATCGTCCTCCACAACCATAAGGTTGACAAGCCCACGAAGGCGATGACAATCTTAGGGGTGCGCCCTCAGAAACGGAGGGGGCCCTGAAGGCTGGCATCGAGGTGCGGTGATGCCAATCATGGGGGTAGGGATGCGCTTCGGGCCGGTAATCTATTCGCCCTCGTTGACCCCAGACCCTGTGGCGTCGTGAAAAAAAGCGACGGACGTTTTCTTTGCTATGTTCGGCCGCTGGGGATCCTTACTTGACCTCAGGGCCGTCAAAAAAAGACGACCCAACGTGCAAAGCCAGTCGCGGAGGTTGCGTCGAGACCCCTGGGGATCGACGTGATGAAAAACATGACGTCGGGGGTCTGGGTCTGGCGCAGGGCGCAGCACGCACACCCCCGAAGCGTACGGCCAGGAGCTGTTGCACAGCGTGCCCCCGCGGCGGCCCCGGCGGCACGCCGCGCCTGGCAAGCAGATGGCGCGTCGCCCCGCCGCGGAGTGCGGGGGGCTCGGGGAAGCTCGGGACGTTGCAGCCGGGGGACCGGGAAGCGGATACTCCAGATTTCGTAGTAAAAGGGAGGGGGTCACAACCCTCCCAGACGAGAAGTCTTAGACCCCCCAGACTATCCATCAAAGGGCGGCCCTTTGCCCAGACCCCCCCGAACCCTCCAAGACAGCTCAAATTAGACGCCCCCCCGAATGTGACCCCCGCCACTCTGTTATGGAATCCGGAGTAGCGTGCCGAGCCAAAAGGGACATTTCTTTCATTTACGGGGGATAACGCACGTTGCCCGGGGAGGCGGGGGGGGGGGGCGTGGGGGGGGGGGGTAACGGTAACTGGAGCCGCGGCGCGCATCCCCTGAGGCGCGCCGCCTACGTCGTCGTCGTCGTCGTCGTCGTCGTCGTCGTCGTCGTCGTCGTCGTCGTCGTCGTCGCCGCCCAAGCCCACAGCGCCTGTGCACACAGCACGGGCTCTGTACAATGCTTTCGTGCACCTGGGCTGCTACAGAAATCGTATGTGTGTGTGATCATCGGCGTGTGAGATGCTTCCCCCTCCCCAAACCCCTCCCCCGGGAGCCCGGTCTGGTCGATTTGGAGGGGGGGGGGGGGGTCCGGGACGAGCGCTCCACGGGGCTTTTCCTAGCCCAAGAGGGCTTCAAGACGGGCCACGAAGCCCCCAAGAGGCCTCCAAGACGGCCCACGAAGGCTCCGAGAAGCCAAACGACCGCTCCAAGACGCCCACGATGGCCCCAAGACGGGCCAAGAGGTCTCCAAGACGGCCCCTGAGGTCCCAAATGAGCCTCCCAAGAGGGCCCAAAGAGTCAAAAATTGCTGATTTTCCATAAGTGTTCTTCGACGTTTTTTGCTTTTCCGCCTTTCCGGCTTCCCGACGCTCCAAGACGGGCAAAGAGGCCCCAAAGATAGCCCCAAGATGGCCCAAGAGGCCCCCAAGACGGCCTCCAGACGGCCCAAGACGGCCCCAAGACGGCCCAAGAGGTCCCCAAGACGGCCCAAGAGGGCCGATTTGGAGGGGGGGAGGGGGCCGGGACGAGCGCAGCACGGCCGGGACGAGCGGTTCCAGGGCTTTTCCGGGCCCAAGAGGGCCTCAAGACGGGCCAAGAAGGCTCCAAGAGGCCTCCAAGACGGCCCACGAAGGCTCCGAGACGCCAAACGACCCCTCCAAGACGCCCAAGATGGCCCCAAGACGGGCCAAGAGGTCTCCAAGACGGCCCCCGAGGTCCCATACAAGTCTCCCAAGAAGGCCCCAA